ATTACATACATAACATACATACATACATACATACGTACAGACATACATGCATACACTACATTGCATTACATACATACACACATACATGACATTACATACATTACATTACATTACGTTACACTACATTACATTACATTACATTACATTACATACATACATACCTTACATACGCACATTACATACATACATACATACATTACATACATACAAACATACATACATACATACATACATTACATACATACATGACATACATTACATACATACATACATACACACATACGCACATTACATACATACATACATACATTACATACATACATACATGAATACATGCATTACAATACGTAAATACATACATACATACATACATACATTACATACATACATACATACATACATACATCACATACATTACATACATACATCACATGCATTACATACATACATACATACATACATACATACATTACATACATACATACATACATACATTACATACATACATACATACATTACATACGTACATACATACATACTTACATACTTACATACATACATACATTACATACATACATGTATGTTATGTATGTATGTATGTATGTAATGTAGGTATGCATGTACGTAATGTAATGTATTGTAATGTAGTGTAGTGTGTTGTAATGTAATGTAGTGTAGTGTATGTTTGTCATGTAGTGTAATGTAATGTAATGTTATGTATGTATGTAGTGTATGTATGTATGTATGTATGTGTGAATGTATGTATGTATGTAATGTATGTAATGTATGTATGCATGTATGTCTGTGTGAATGTTTGTATGTGTGTATGTGTGTAATGTATGTAATGTATGTATGTATGCATGCATGCATGCATGTATGTATGTATGTATGTATGTATGTAATGTATGTAATGTAATGTAATGTAATGTTTGTAATGTTTCTAGTGTAAGTATGTATGTATGTACGGTATGGTATGGTATGGTATGTATGTATGTAATGTATGTATGTATGTATTAATGCAATGTAGTGTATGTATGTATGTATGTAATGTATGTATGTGATGTATGTATGTATGTATCTAATGTATGTATGTATGTATGTATGTATGTATGTGTGTAATGTATGCATGTATGTAATGTAATGTAATGCAATGTAATGTAACGTAATGTAATGTAATGTATGTAATGTAATGTATGTGTGTATGTCTGTATGTAATGTATGTATGTATGTAATGTAATGTAGTGTATGTATGTATGTCTGTACGTATGTATGTATGTATGTTATGTATGTAATGTAATGTATGTATGTATGTATGGTATGGTATGGTATGGTATGGTATGGTATGTATGTATGTAATGTATGTATGTATGTATGTATTAATGTAATGTAATGTAATGTATGTATGTATGTAATGTATGTATGTATGTATGTATGTAATGTATGTGTGCATGTAATGTATGTATGTATTGTAATGTATGTATGTATGTAATATGTATGTATGTATGTGTGTATGTATGTATGTAATGTAATGTAATGTAATGTATGTATGTACGTACGTATGTATGTATGTATGTGTGTATGTGTGTAATATATGTATGTATGTATGTAATGTAATGTGATGTAATGTATGTATGTATGTATGTAATGTATGTATGTATGTATGTATGGATGTATGTATGTATGTATGTATGTAGTGTATGTATATATGTATGTATGCATGCATGTGTGTATGTTATGTATGTATGTATGTATCTATGTAATGTATGCGTGTAATGAAATGTAATGTTTCGCAATGTAACGTAATGTAAGGTAATGTATGATGTATGTATGTATGTGTGTGTATGCATGTATGTATGTGTGTGTATGTATGTATATGTGTGTATTGTATGTGTGTATGTATGTACTATGAATGTATGTACGAATGTATTGTAATGTATGTATCTATGTTATGTCTGTATGTATGTAATGTATGCGTGTAATGTAATGTAATGTATATTATGTATGTATGGTGTGTATGTACGTATGTATGTATGCATGCATGTGTGTATGGTATGTATGTATGTATGTATGTATGTATGTATGTATGTATATATGTATGGTTTGGTATGTATGTATGTATGTATGTATGTATGTATGTATGGTATGTATGTAATGTATGCAATGTATGTAATGTAATGTAATGCAATGCAATGTAATGTTTCGCAATGTAACGTAATGTAAGGTAATGTATGTATGTATGTACGTGTGTGTATGCATGTATGTATGTGTGTGTATGCATGTATGTATGTGTGTGTATGTATGTATATGTGTGTATTGTATGTGTGTATGTATGTGTTATGAATCTATGTATGAATGTATTGTAATGTATGTATGTATGTTATGTATGTATGTAATGTATGTATGTAATGTAGTGTAGTGTAGTGTAGTGTAACGCAATGCAATGTATGTATGTATGTGGGGTATGGTATTGTATGGTATGGTATGGTATGTATTTATGTAATGTATGTATGTATGTATGTAATGTAATGTAATGTAATGTAATGTAATGTAATGTAATGTAATGTATGTATGTAATGTATGTATGTATGTATGTATGTATGTATGTATGTAATGTATGTATGTATTTATGTATTGTAATGTATGTATGTATGTATGTATGTATGGTATGTATGTATGTATGTAATGTATGTAATGTATGCAATGTATGTATGTAATGTAGAGTGCAATGTAATGTATCGCAATGTAACGTAATGTAAGGTAGTGTATGTATGTATGTGTGTATGCATGTATGTATGTATGTGTATGCATGTATACGTGTGTATTGTATGTGTGTATGTATGCATGAATGTATTGTAATGTATGTATGTATGTTATGTCTGTATGTATGTAATGTATGTATGTAATGTAATGTAATGCAATGTAGTGTAGTATAGTGTAGTGTAATGCAATGTCTGAATGTATGTAATGTAATGTAGTGTTATGTATGTGTGTAATGTATGTATGTATCTGTGTATGTATGTATTTTTGTATTGCAATGTATGTATGTGTGTATGCATGCATGCATGCATGCATGCATGTATGTATGTATGTATGTATGTATGTATGTATGTATGGTATGTATGTAATGTATGTAATGTATGTAATGTATGTATGTAATGTAATGCAATGCAATGCGATGTAATGTCTCGCAATGTAACGTAATGTAAGGAAATGTATGTAGGTATGTGTGTGTGTATGCATGTATGTATGTGTGTGTGTATGTATGTATGTGTGTATTGTATGTGTGTATGTATGTATGTATGAATGTATTGTAATGTATGTCTGTATGGTATGTATGTATGTATGTATGTAATGTATGTATGTAATGTAATGTATGTATGTATGTATGTAATGTATGTATGTATGTATGTATGTATGTATGTGTGTGTGTATGTATGTATGTATGTATGTACTTTTCAATGTATGTATGTATGCATGCATGCATGTATGTATGTATGTATGTATGTAATGTATGTAATGTAATGTATGTTATGTAATGTATGTATGGAATGTATGTATGCATGCATGTATGTATGTATGTATGCAATATATGTATGTATGTCATGTATGTATGTAATGTAATGTAATGTAATGTATGTATGCATGTATGTATGTAAGTAATGTATGCATGTATGTATGTATGTATGTATGTATGTATGTTATGTTATGTATGTATGTTTGTAATGTATGTATGTATGTAATGTAATGTAATGCAATGTAATGTAATGTAATGTAATGTAATGTGTGTATGTAATGTAATGTATGTGTGTATGTATGTATGTAATGTATGTATGTAATGTAATGTAATGTAATGTAATGTAATGTAAGGTATGAATGTACGTATGTTTGCATGTATGCAATGTAATGTATGTATGTATGTATGTATGTATGTATGTATGTGTGTGTATGTATGTATGTATGTATGTAATGTATGCATGTATGTATGTAATGTAATTGTAATGTAATGTAATGTAATGTATGTATGTAATGTATGTATGTATGTATGTATGTAATGTAATGTAATGTAATGTAATGTAATGGTATGTAATGTATGTATGTATGTATGTATGTATGTATGTATGTATGTATGTATGTATGTATGTATGTATGTATGTATGTATGTATGTATGTATGTAATGTAATGTATGTATGTATGTATGTATGTATGTATGTATGTATGTATGTATGTATGTATGTATGTATGTAATGTATGTATGTATGTATGTATGTATGTATGTATGTATGTATGTATGTATGTATGTATGTATGTATGTATGTATGTATGTGTGTATGTATGTAATGTATGTATGTATGTAATGTATGTATGTATGTATGTATGTAATGTATGTATGTATGTATGTATGTATGTATGTATGCAATGCAATGCAATGCAATGCAATGAAATGAAATGAAATGTATGTATGTATGTATGTATGTATGTATGTATGTATGTATGTATGTATGTATGTATGTATGTATGTATGTATGTATGTATGTATGTATGTATGTATGTATGTATGTATGTATGTATGTGTGTGTGTATGTATGTATGTATGTATGTATGTATGTATGTATGTATGTATGTATGTATGTATGTAATGTATGTATGTTTGTATGTCATGTATGTAATGTATGTATGTAATGTAATGTAATGCAATGTAATGTAATGTCATGTATGTATGTAATGTAATGTAACGTAACGTAACGTAATGTAATGTATGTATGTATGTATGTATGTATACATCCAACAAACCACCGTGTTCACAAAAGGGGGTCGTCCAGGCTGGGCGTCCTTGACCAGGTGCCCTTTCGCGTGTGTTTGCCTGTTCGCAACTTGGGTGTTTGGTAACAGATGCAATTGAAGCAGTCCAAGTGAGTACTTGTTTTGTCAGGTGCTTGCGTGCACAAGTGCGTGTGCTGGCACTAAGAAGCCATTGACTGTGTCAGCGTCAGTCTGCCAGGAGTCAGACGAGAATTGAGGAGGGAATTGGGCATCTCTTGTTCTAGGATCTCCACTGGCTGGGACCAACGAATTGTTTTTCAAGGCCGCTCGAGCGGGGGCTGACAGTGCAATTCTCCCAACGCTTCCACTTGCTGTTGGCCTCTTTTCCTTCCTGCTTTATCTAAGCACTTCCCACCCATGATTGGTTGTTGGTCAGCATGGCGTTATTAAAGGCCCAAAAAATCAAACCCGCTGTTTGGCCGCTTACTCGTCAGCCCAAGAATAAGGTTCGGTGCCGAGGAAGCATTTGCACGGCCTTGGTTGAACAAACGAGGCTTAGAGGTAGGTGATACGGACCGGCGGTGCCGGCAGCTGCCAAAGGCAAGCCGCAAAGGCAAGCCGCCAGCTCTTGCGAAAAGGAGAAGAACATGCCTGCTAGCCCAAGCACTGACGTACACGCACACACAGACAGAGACAGACTATACTTTGCACCCAGTTAGCTGTTCCCTGTTGGATTGACAAGTGCTTGCCTTGGAGAGCGCTCTCTTACAGCGCTTTCTTACTTCAGGCAGGCCACGGGCATCATGTTGGGCCATGGGGCAGTGAACTGAAATACTCATTCTACTACTCATCCGCAATATAATCATGAATCACTACCCTTTTTCATGAAGGTTGGTTGATCGTGGCAAATATGAAGCTATCCAAACAATCATATATCAAGTTAGGTTCGATGATGATAGTCAAGCTTGTGGGGTTCGATAATTTTCTGTGCTCCTTGTGAGTGTAGTGTTGACTATGGTGAGCATGTGCGCATGCCCACTGACTGTCATGATGTGGAACTTTAGAAAGCGTTTGGCTTGGGCAGACCACCTTGGCTACCATCTGAAGATCTTGCATATCCACTTGTCCGCACCAGCTGTTTGGCTTTCATACCATCCGATAGAACGTAGCGAACGTTAAGGTCTCGAGTCCTTTTTGCATTATCACACCTGTGTGCTGTACTCACTCACCACTCCTGATGCCAACTAGTTTTGGAGAGCAATCGTGAACTGAACTATAGAACTGGTGGTTTTGCTGCCGCACTTCCAACAGCCTGCCACTCCCGGCACTGACACAGCCTAGCACTCGTGACACGTGGCACTCCTTGCCTTTGCCGACTCGAGACCTTTTTTCCAGTTGGCGCTCATGCGGGAGGCAGGAGCCGTGCTGAAGGCCGGAACGGCGTCTACAGAATCATCAAAGCTGATGCGCTGATCTAAGTATACGGGATCCTCTTCAAATTTGCAGCTGACTTTAGGATGTTGTTTCAAAACCCAACTGTTCTTCCGAACCGGATGGACAGCGTTGCAACAGGAACTTTAAGATTTGGGGCATTCCGACGTGTGACAGATACCGAGGATATGATGAGTTCAGAAGCATTTTAAAGCCAGGGTACATGATTCAGTACGCATAGTTGCTGCCTATCCGGGGCACGATAACACGGACAGCTATTTTGCTTGTGAGCACGCTCATTCTTGACTTGCTTCCCGCAGACATGACTCTGCACTTGATGCGCATGGACTAGACCTTGGCTCAGTCGTAGTTTGCAGCCACACATGGTGTGGATGGAGAGCCCTCACCTGGCAGCGGTTCCAAATCGCATCTCTCCAGATCGGATGTTGTAGGGTCCCCACGGTCACGCCTCAGGGGTTGCTGATTTTCATTGGCTTGCAGCTGGTCATCGGCCTGCTTCGGGGCAACTTGGCAGCAATGATACAAATCGACAAGCAGCTTCGGGTCATTTGATACTTGTTTGTTTTGGGAGGGGGGATGGGGGGGGTGCGGGGAGGGGGAATAACTTGTTACTGGTTTAGTAATGCTTTGTACTGGCCCAGTACTGTTCAGACATTGCTTAGAATTGTTTGCACTTTCTGTACTTCATTTTTATGCCAAAAGAAGCATGGGGATGTTAGATTTTGAGTTTTATCTGCCTGCTCCAGCCGACGAAGGCAGGCAGCTGGGCCAGCCGGCCGAGGCAGGCAGCAGGCAAGAACGCAGGCAGGAATGCTGCAGCGAGGCAAAACCCTGCTGAGCACGTAGGCAGCGGGTGGTTCCGGGTGTCCCAACGGGACGGCAGCGCTGACCGGGGCGCGGCATGTCGCGGGCCCGTGCTCTTGACGGGGCGGTCAAGGCGTTCGCTTGTCGAGCAAGTTGTGCCTTGGCTTTGAGCAGCGGTTCTTTTGGCTGACCGGAACTGCCCAAGGCGCGGGTGTTGCAGCTCACGGAACCAGAGCCAACATAGCGATTCGAGCCAATGGAGCCAACTCCGCCGGATAAGCCGGGCGTGGGCCATTCGAGCCAGTTGAGCCAGTTGAGCCAGTTGAGCTAGATGAGTTGAGCCGGGTCAGTCGCACCAGCTGGGCCACGGGAGCCAGTTGAGCCAGTTGCGCAGCCATTGGGGAACCGCGTAGTCAGTCTACGATGGCGCCGCTCATGCCACGTCGTAAGGAGCATATAGGGAGAATCTTGCCACGTGTTCGGGGAGCGGGTTCCAGAAACGGGCGCGGATAGCTCGATTGAGTGCTGTTTCATTTGCTCTTTTAGTTAATCGCAGTCTATTGCTGCACAAAGCAAATTGTGCGGGGGTCTCTTTAGTGGGAAAGTTGGCGGCCTGGCTCCAGGCTTTTTTTTGCTGGTACTTACTTTGGTTTTGCCAACTCCAAATTTATTATTGCCAAGACTTCTCCTTAAGAGACACTTGTTTTCTCTTTGCACAGTCTAAGTTTAGTATACGGCTTTGACCTTGAGCTAGGGAGGAGCTCTGGGCGAACCACTCTTCAGAAGTAAAAGGCTGAGGTTTAGATCTGGGAGTTTCCCCAACCCCAAAAAGTTGGACATTGAAGTGAGCCTCAAAGCAGTGACGTTAAACTGGGTCAGCGCCTCTTGTGGGCAACCCCCTTTGTGCGACTGTTTGGCCTTACTGTTTTTTGTTTATTAGCTTTGATGCTTGGGGGACCACTTCAAAAAAGGAGTTCCTACTGTTTGCAGGATTGGTTTGCCCAATTTTTGGTTTCCCGATTTTATTGCTCTATGGTGTCCGGATTGTTTGTTTCCTGCTAAAACACATACTATAAAAGCGACCCTTCAAACAGTTGCAGGATCCTGAATTAGTTTTTTGGTTGTAATAGCGACCCCCGAACTGAAAGCGGCCCCTACATTCAGGCCTGTCCCATGAACAGCTGAGCTTTAAGCCAGTGATCCAAATCCTACCAAGGAGGAGCACCTCCAACAAGCTTCAGCCCAAGCTTCAGCCTGGGTTCTTCTGCTTGTTCCCCACTGGTTTGGCTTTTTTTCTTGCAGGGGAACAAGTAATGTGGCACCTGGTTGAAAATTGAGACCCTGAATAATGGCAAGTTTCTTCGGCTAAGACACGGTCCCCCGCTGTGTGATGTCATCTTTTATGTCAAGTTAAAGCCCACACAGATCCCGATCCAAACAGTCTGGGCAACTTGTTTGTCCTTTCAGCTTCCACTGGGCTCAGGCCCAGCAGTGAAGACTAAATGCGTGGGAAAAAACAAACATACAATATATCAAAGCCTTAGCCCTTTGTTTTATCTAAGTCCTTGCCAGCCCAGAGGCTCAAGTTCTTAGATTTAGGAAATTAAATGTTGCAAGCTATCCCCTGAAATCATCAAACTTAAGATAGCTTCTCTATTGTTCTAATGATAATAAACACTAGCTTTGGGGGTCTTCTTCAATGTCAAGCTTTTTTGGGGTGGGTCAAATCTGGCAATACTAAAGTAAGTACTGGGAGTCTGAGAGTAAGCCCTGGCAATACTAGTCAAAGTAGTGGAAATCCAACAGGAAGAGCTGGCAACACTAAACTAAGCATTGGCAATACTCAAGCAATTCTTAGGTTATGCAAGCTCCCTGCCAGACCTTTTTGAGAACCCCGAGCACTGCTGTGATTGTTCTTGGGGCGCCCATTAGACAAGGTCCCCACATTACCCGGAAAGAAAGCTGGTCCCGAGCAATCACACCGTGTTGATTTCAATGCCATAATATGGAATATGGATGGCCTCACAGCTGGCTTGTTGTGGCAGCAAGGCCTGGTTTTGGGCGACCTGCCTGGGGCGGCACGGTCCCTTGCGGGTGCCGCCACCGGCTGCCTCGTGGCGCTGACGACCTCGTTGGTCTCCTGGGCTTTGCTGCTCCATAGTGCCTCTGGGGCAAATTGACAGCTTGGGGGTGCCAAATAATCGAAACCCGCAGGGCGAGTTTGATGAGCAACAATTGTGTGTGTGTGTGTGTGATGCTTGTGACAAATGACAATCGCTGTGAAGCTTTGTTGTGTTGAATGCCTGTGGCTGCGAGTCACAATTAGGTTGGACCAGTTGCTTGACACAATCACCTTGCTTGACCGGCCATGTTTGAGTCATGATAGAATCCACTTTGGGCCCAGCCAAATTCTGCTTCAACCTTCAAACATGAAGGACGTTCCGCTTGCAGACCGATGGATTCCCCCCAGAGTTCAGCCCAAGGTGCCACTTGCGCGCTGGGGTGGTGCCTCGGCTGCGCCAGAAGGGCACAAGCCATCAGACACCTGCTTTTCTGCGGCCGTAAGGAAGACGGGGTTCCCCTTCGACCAGGATGTGAAGCCCGGTTCTGACCATGCCACATTTGTCTTCCTTGCGTGTTGCACATTATTTGTGAGTTTGTGCCCTTCCTATTCCTTGGCAGGAGAACCCTGATTTTCTCAGCCAAGGGGTGGCCTTTTCCAACGGAAGGGTTCATGCTCGCCCCGCTTGAGCGCCCTATTTGGATTGGGTAAAGGAGTGGATCGTCCCTCGGTAGCAGTTGCTTCTGCTTCCGCATTCCCCGAGAGTGAGTCTTGTGCCAGCAGGGACTGCATTACGGGTGATGCGTTTCCAGCCATTTGTTCACTGTTTCGGCATGTTTCGGCCTTTGGTCGTTGCTGCTTCCTTTTACGTGCCTCATTCCAGTGGTTAAGAGACAGTCTGCAGTGAGGCTCTTCGAGGTGGGACCCTGGCTGCTGGATTTCAACAGCCGTTGGGCACTCCACATGTCAGGCACCTCGGCTAACCCAAGGCATGGGAAAGCGACACCCTTTTGGCGGTCGGTCGTGTGTTTGCTTTGCTTGGTTGGTTGAATAGAAGCTGTTGCATGCAGCCATTCG